TATTCGTGCAAGCAAAATGCAAGAAAAATTCAAATACTGAAAAAAGTATTTATCATGTCAAAGTTGCAATAATTAATATATAGCGACATCTTATTTTAAATTATAAGCAAAATAAAATGTTTACAATAATCAATTATTCAAATCATGTTTGTGTTAGAAGACTCGATTTTCCTTAATTTTTCACAATAAGATGAAAAGAGAATTTATAAAATTACTTTTGAATTTATTAGGAATAACTCAATTTTGCTTTATTCTTTGGTACAGTTAGAAAATCTTGAAATTTCTCCATTTATGCCAAATTTGTTACCAGTTACCACCCACTGCACTTAATTTTAGTGCAATCCTAGCCATTGAATTCCTGACAATCTATAAAAGGGAAAATCATTACCGTAGATGACGATTCTTTCACCCATAAATACGGTAGAGCCAAAAGAAGGAAAAAAATTTCGCTTCTACTCTCCAACTCATTATTTGAGTAATAACTTGATATCTAACCTTTTAAGTAGAAAATTAATAGTTAGTTACACAATATTCTCAATATGAAACATTTAAATTTATATAAAATTATCCTGTAAACCTCACATATACAAGTTTGTTGAGCTGTATTTTGTTTCCGAACTTGAATCGATACTTAAATATCTAAAATAAGTTATGTTTAGTCATGGATAATGATATATAATCCTTATTTGACGGTAATTAAAATCTAAATTTTAATAGATTTTGATAGAAATTAATGAAATGCGTGGTCGAAAAGTTGTGGGATCCATAAAATATTTGATTAAAATTAGTTGTTGACTTTAACTTAAATTAAAATTAGATTTTAAATCCTAACAAATACGGACATAACATTATTTATACTTAGCATCAATTTAGGCGGTATTGGACCTACACATTTATTTATCATCAATTTTAGATTTGTGACCTCGAAATAATCTGTGACCTACAGAATTTTTAATCTGTGACCGATAAAAAAATTGTGACCTATAAATTTTTTGATAAGCTATGACCTAAAATTATTTTTAACTAATTAATAAGATATTTGTGACCAAATTGCACAATTAAATATTTAATTAATTAATAAAAAGTAAAAATTTGATTTTTGCAATTTTAAAACTTTAGCACCTGATTTTTGCAAGTGTCAAAGTTAATACCTGATCTATGAACTTTTCCATTTTAATTACGTGTAGGGTACATTGACATTGAATTGGGCTACTGGGTTTGGGTTATTGGGTTAAAGTTTAGTTAATATTAATTGGGCCAGAATTTTGGAAAGTCCAAAAAAAAATTGTCCAATTAATTTTGAGAAATAAAAATGGAAAGCCCATTTGTCCAATTTTTTTTTTTTTAACGGGTAATCGGTTCGGTTCGGTTCACCATAGTTAAATACCATACCCGCCCCTAAATGAAGCGGTTCGTTAAAATCAAAGCCATAACCGCCCCAATTGCACCATCGGTTCGGTTTTTTTCGCCCCATTCGGTTCGGTTAACCGCGGTTTTCGATTTTCACAGTTCGAATTGACATCCCTATATATATATATAAACCAATTTCTATAATTAGGTTAGACACGATCACCGAGTTAAAAACACCTTAATATTATCTAACTCTTTATCGAATTCCAATTCAATCTCTCTTCATTCAAATCATTTTTCGTACCAAACACCCTTATTTCAACTCAAGAATTTATATTACCTCTTGTTGATAGATAGGACATCATTGTTAACCTCCTCCTCATTATCACAACCATCAGAATTCACTACAAGAAAAATGGATTTTTGCAACATTTAAAAGGCAACATTCATTCATTAAATGTTGCTAAAGGGGATCTATTGCAACGTTTGGGTGAGTGAATGTTGCTAAATGGGTATATGGCAACATTTTTTGCAAAAAGTGACTTTTCGCAACGTTTATTGAATGTTGCGAAAAGTCTCACATTTCACAACGTTTAAATTCGCACCGTTTTTTAAACGTTGCGAAATATCACCTTTTGCAACGTTTTTTTAAACGTTGCAAAAAGTCACTTTTCGCAACGATTAAAAAAATGTTGTGAAAAGATAAGTCCTTTATTTAGCCCAATCAACGTTAGCTCTAATATCGTATCCGCGAGGATCCACCATTTTCCTCTTTTTTCTCACTCTTTCATTCAAATCCACCATTTTCTTCCACTACGAAGATGGCAGTCTCCGACGAGAGAGGCCTCCACGTGTTGCGGGGAGTTGGGTGACTAGGAGGAGCTAGAAGGAGAACTGAGTGTCGCTCTCGGCTGTGATTTCCATATTGCAAAGGAACCTTTTCTCTATTTTTCAAGGCCAGGGGAGAGTCCAGTGCAGTGGATCGAGTTACTTCATGCCTTAGATCAGCCAGGTACAGGCAGAATATTTTCCAGAGTTCTAAAGTTAATTGCACAGTGTGGTAGCTATAAATGATTTTGAATGCATCTCAAGTCTTTGGGGGTTTAGGGTTCAGTAGCCATTTGAGATATGGTGGACCTGTGTGTTGTGTTGTTGGTAGAGTAAGAATGGTACGAATTTTTTTGTGGAGATACCGAGTGAGCTGCAATAACAAGGCCGACGTAGCTTACAGCCATGGTTCACGTCAGTTTTTACCAAACTGTAAGCCTTCTCCCCCCTCTTTATGGGTTTGTGTGTGTTTGCGGTTGTGGGTTATGGTGCGTGTGTGGGTGGGTGGGTTTTTTTTTTTTTTTT